GAGTCCCCTCCATAGTACATAATGCATGTTTTCTGCTATCTTTGATGAGTGATACAAAGACAATGTTACCATTAGTTCTTAATGATATTGATACTGCTGGACTCAGTAGTCTTACACCTACTACCACAATACAATGAAGTACTTCTAGTGTGTTGTCTTAAAAAAAATCCTCTGTCAATGTCCCCTCCTGAGAACAAAATCAAGCCACTTCTTCTAAGTTTGATGAGGGGAAAATGATTTTTGCCATTAGTTCTTCGTGAGATTGATCCTGTTGGACTCAGTACTACTGAAACTACTCCCACAAGTACTATTAAGTACTTTTACTGTGTACTTTTTGAGTAATCCTCTGTCAATGTCCCCTCCTGAGTACAAGAATGCATGTTTCTCTGCTATTTTGAATCAGCGTTAAAACACGTTCCTTCCTGAGACTGATATTATTGGACAGAGTATTTTAAGAGGATATGGTAGACATGATATCAGCAATACTTCCAGTCAGTAGTCCGGCAGCAGCATTTTTACACCTTGGAAAGTCTTTAGAGACTGGCCTTCAGCAAAGTGACAAACCCTTGTGACTCTTGTTGGCCTCTTATGACAATGCTGTCTTTTAAATAGGACTATTTCTCTGCTCCTAGTTCGTTCCTCTCAGATTCTTCCATCAGTCCCAGTCATTGCATGTCAGTCAATAGAGCTTTGAAAAATGTGTCCAATTCAACTAAATGTTTTTTTGTGAGTGAAGGCCAGAGCTAAATTATAGATGGTTTGATTGTGTAATTACAAGGTGAGAGAAAATAAATCCACATCCTCCTATGAAACGTATTTTATTTCCTTTTCCATGTTATACTTATACTTACTTGCATTAGAACATTTGCATGTTGAACTGCTGGATATCTTCCCCAGCCTCAAGGAAATGCAATAAAATAAATGGATTCATAATTTAAAAAAATGATAAAATGTATAAATAATGTCGTGTGCAAACATTTAACATTTTAAATATAAAATGAAAAAAAAGGTTTACTTTTTAAATGATTTCTCACAAAAATCAATAGTAAATTGTTAAAAAGGGTTTAGTCAATACACGTTTTTCTGCCTAAAATAGTTGAAATTGAACGTAAACTATATCAAACACCACATGCATGGCAATTAACCCATTTTTGCCCGCTATTTAAATTGACTTTGGTTGAAGTTAACAATATTGATATGATATAGATATATAGATATAGATAGATAGATTTTTAAATAAAATACTGCAAATGAAGAATATTTGTAATGTTTTACACAGATAGGGCCTTAACTTGAATTTGAAAACATGTGGCAACTTTATTAATACAGCAGATGAAAAGATTTGTGGAAGGATCAATTCTTCATGGGCTTCAATGGCTCTCTAGATAAAGGGCGTTTTATGGTTGCTTGTATTTTCCTCAGATAGTGGTTTGTTTAAATAACTAGTGACATTTGAATAAATATTGAAAAAAAGCGCTCCAAAAAGGCATATATATATATATATATATATATATATATATATATATATATATATATATATGTAACCTGGCCGGCTTAACCAGTGTGTATTTCTTCAAGCACCACAAGATTCAGAGTTTATAAAGTACAATTCTGGGCCATTGATTGTGTTATTTCTCCAAACACATACAGTAAAAATGCCTGTTTTTGAAATTAATAATAAAAATAATAAAATGCAATAACGTGCTTTAACCAGTAGGTGTCCCTTTCTATCAGCTGTGCACCGTTATGGCGTAAATACAGCCTATCTACCAATTGGATCAAATATAAAAGTCAGCCGAATTAGTGTTGATAATGCAAGGAGACGTATTGTGTGAAAAGAAATGTAAGATGTTGTTTAATTGCTGATATATTTATGATCCACGTCACGTTTTCAGTTTTGGCGGCAGTTCTTCCTGTTTGTCTAGAAGTCTTCTCATCAGGGCTCTATAAATAGAGAACTACGGCAGATATGTAATATTTTATGCAGCCGAAACGTGTATTACAATGCCGTTATGTGATGACTTTCAAAGAGAAAAGCAAGCACACTCGGAATAAAGTATTATTTTATTTTTTTAAATGTTTTCGGATTTCACATCGCATAAACACCATATCCCAACGTGCATTGCGGCTAAACCATCCAATCACGAGCTGAGGATCTTGCCTAGTCTGTTTCCGGTATTGTTTATGACGATGTGATGTGAGATGTGAGACTGGGTTGGAGAATTGCACAGGGGAAAATAACGTATCTATGCCACAATTTTAGATGCGGATTTTGTTAAACTAATACGTTTGCGCTGTGGACCAACACTATAAATTGACGGGGAAGGGGGTAGCAATAAAGATAACACCATTAAACAGTTACACAACATAACAGAAATAATATAACATCCGAGAGAATGTTTAAACAACATGCTTGTTAGCATTAGTAACACTTAAAATACATTGAATGTACACAATTTCCTGAGGCATTTTACGTTACTGCTACGTTCGAGTTGTGCGCTAACAGCAATATAAATAAATGAGGGCAAAGACGTTCTAATATTACAATTTGAGAGCATACACCGATAGCAGCGTCCCTAGCAACCACCTTGGTAACAATGAAAACGTTGTATGTACACAATTTCCTGAAGTAATCTTCGTAATAACTAGCAAACTAAAGATCATGTACATCCACTGCACACATAATCTGAAATAACAACTCATATTTCTCGCATCAAATGACATCAAAACGCATTTTAATGGCCAAACTAACCTTAAAATAGGCATTTTCCACCGAGAATAAAACGATCCTACAATTTCAGAGGCGTTTTTGTAGAAATACTACGTCCCAAGTTGTGGACCAACGTAGTTATTACACGTTTAGATGTGAGACTGGGTTGGTCTTTAGCTACTAGCTTGGTGTTAGCATGTTGCCTCTGCAGGTGCTTGGAGAGGTTTGATGTTGTTGTGTTTGCAGCAGTGCACCTTACCGTCACATTTAAAATAATGCGCATACCTCCACCTCTCGAAAGTTATAGCTGTTGATGTCTCTGTCTCAGTCTTCAAGTTAGACCTATCACATTTACCAGCTGTTGATGTCAGTAATTGTGCATATTGGTCCATTTCAGAATAATATATATGATATGTTTTATAATGATTGATCATTAAAGGTAGGGTAGGTAAGTTTGAGAAACCGGCTCGAGATACACTTTTTGTTATATTCCATGGAATGCTCTTAACATCCCGATAGCAATGAATATCTTAAGTGCTTTGACAAAAAATCCATAACAAAATTTCATCTGTGGAAGCCGTAGGCCATCCAGTTATTTTAGCCGGCCCGGCTAAAATAACTGGATGTCAGCCTTCCATCTGTGCACAAACTTATCTCGTGCCCTCATTGGTCATGTGCACGTTCGTGTGTGTTGGAGGAGGGGCTCTGTAAGGAAGTGGCAGATTTTCTCCGGATGTGTATTTTCAAATTCTAGCGATCTAACTTACCTACCCCACCTTTAAAATGTTCTCAAAGCTGGTAAAGGTGCAGCTAGTTTGAATGACTGTGTATACTGCAGGGTAGCTTGTGAATTTACTCCAGGTGGAACTCAAGTCTGATTTAACACTTGATTATATTTCACATCATTCATCCACATCTGTGAAGTAACTAAAGTTGTAGTGGAGTATAGGTACACAGTAGCGGAACATTGAAATAAAGTACAGGTCCCTCAAAATTGTACTTAAGTACAGTACTTGATTAAATGTACATGTAGCTTGTTCCAGTTCCTCGCTTTCCTTGACTTCCACTGCCGTGCAATTCATGTTAAAATACCTGCTGGAATTACGAAGGCAGTTTGGGTGAAACTTGGTAAAATGATTCATTTTCATCCAAATGTTTTGACACGTTAAGGTTTGCAGATTATTCTCAACCATTCACGTATTTTTTGACAGCACACATTTAAACCAAAATGTATCATTATGATGGATTTGATTGAAATGCTTGCATTATAAAGTGTGTGTGTGTTTATATATTTGTCTCCAGGGTTACTAGTTCATCTCTCAGGATGGAGAACATGAGAGATTTGGATGATGAGGAGGAGGAGAAATCTTCAGTGTCCAGAAAACCTCCAGATTTGAGTAATACACTTGGAGCATCTGCCACAAGGTAAGAGTCTGTTTCTGCTGTGAACTGACCTGAAGAGGAGTCTGGTTTGATCTGAGTAGCAGATCACAGTACAGAAACTCAGTAAAGCTTCACTGTGGAGTTCAGTCATGAAACAAAGTCAATGAGAGGAAAGAAACCCAGAAGAGGAAAGTAAAGAGGTAACTGAGCTCTGGCTGTGCTCATCAGCAACAGTTAATCATCTACTATTGTGAAATCATTCTCACACTCGACATGAAGGACTTTGTGTTTGGTTTAGTAAATGAACTTGGAACATGTAAAACTTTTCCCTCTCACAAAGAATTGTAACAACAGAAACCCTCAAAACAAGCAAGTCCAAAAACCATTACTAAGGTAAACTCTGCTGAAATGAAAAGCTGCCCTTTACAAGAACTAGTGATGTGTGTAAAACATTCTGTTGTTTCCACAGACAGAGAGCAGAGTCTCCAGTCCCCAGCTGTCTGTCTCTGAAGAGTGACTGGTCTATGAGTGAACCTTTCTACTTCAGTAATGAACCTGGACCCCCAGACACAAAGTAAGAGTTTGTTTCTGCTGTGAACTGACCTGAAGAGGATTCAGTTTTTATGCCATGTGATAATCTAAACTGTTCTCTAAATAATGACATGAGCATGGAGGCTTACAGAACAGAAACACAGTTTGGTCAATTACAGTAAATTCAAACATGTAAGACTTTTCACCGTTACAAATGAATTGTAATGACAGAAACCCTCAAGCATGACTCAAAACCTGAAAGTTGGGAGGAAGTCCAAAAACCATTAATCGGGTAAACGGGCTGAAATCAAACGCTGCTTTTTACAAGAACTAGTGATGTGTGTAAAACATTTGTTGTTTCCACAGACAGAGAGCAGAGTCTCCAGTCCCCAGCTGTCTGTCTCTGAAGAGTGACTGGTCTATGGGAATACCTCTGAACTTCAGTAATGAACCTGGACCCCCAGACACAAAGTAAGAGTCTGTTTCTGCTGTGAACTGACCTGACAAACATATAGATATAGATATAGATACTGTATTTATCTATATATATATGCCATCTGATCATTTTAAACTCTTCTTTAATAATTACATGAGTGCAGTATCCCACAGTATAGAAACTCATTAGAGCTCAGTATAGAAACTCAGTAGAGCTCAGTATAGAAACTCAGTAGAGCTCAGTATAGAAACTCAGTAGAGCTCAGTATAGAAACTCAGTAGAGCTCAGTATAGAAACTCAGTAGAGCACAGTATAGAAACTCAGTAGAGCTCAGTATAGAAACTCAGTAGAGCTCAGTATAGAAACTCAGTAGAGCTCAGTATAGAAACTCAGTAGAGCTCAGTATAGAAACTCAGTAGAGCTCAGTATAGAAAGTCAGTAGAGCTCAGTATAGAAACTCAGTAGAGCTCAGTATAGAAACTCAGTAGAGCTCAGTATAGAAACTCAGTAGAGCTCAGTATAGAAACTCAGTAGAGCTCAGTATAGAAACTCAGTAGAGCTCAGTATAGAAACTCAGAAGAACTCAGTATAGAAACTCAGTAGAGCTCAGTATAGAAACGCAGACGTACTTGAATCAGATAAGGGAAATATCGGCACCTAGAGCTCTACAGTACTTCATATTGAATTGAAGTTATACATTTATGTGTATCAACCATTGATTGTTAGTTTGACTTTGAATGGAGCAGCCACAATGTTAGCTAAGTCTAACTCCACTCAATCTAATGTCCATTCAGGAACTAGCATTTTGAAAGTGATTTGCTTTCCATGTTGTGGACAGACCTGACAAAGTGTTCACTGCTTTTACAAATTGGAATCATCATGTAGTTATTACATAAACAAGTTTAATTTAGCCGTAGTAAAACTTGTGAGGTACAGTGAACATGCTGTAGGCGAGGATGTTACAGACAGAAGGGCGTTTTGTTTCATAATTATATGAATCACTAAATATCTACCACTTGGGAACAGTTACCAGGATGAAATATCATCTACAGATAAAGAACTTTAACAAAACAAGAATTTGCCAACTTTGGGTTGTACCATTGGTGAAAATCAGTCACCGTAAAGTGCTATAAAGGATGTGTTCATCTCCACAGAGGGAAGAGGAAGAGTGGTGTTCCTGTGGAGGAGCAGCTGTCCAGCTGTGCTCTGTGTCAGGACGTCCTGAAGGATCCAGTCTCTACCAGCTGTGGACACTGGTTCTGCAGACAGTGCATCACCTCATACTGGGAGCAGAGACCTCCATCAGGAGACCCCTGCTGTCCCCAGTGTGGAAAGAGATCCAGAACCAGAGCTGGACTGCAGACAGCCAGTCAGACCAGAACAGTAACAAGTAAGTCTGAACATCTGTCCAGGGTTTCCCACAGATAGACTTTACTTGGGCTGGCCGCCCAGGTATATTAACGTCCGCCCAGGTATATTAACGTCCGCCCAGGTATATTAACGTCCGCCCAGGTATATTAACGCCCGCCCAGGTATATTAACGTCCGCCCAGGTATATTAACGTCCGCCCAGGTATATTAACGTCCGCCCAGGTATATTAACGTCCGGCCAGGTATATTAACGTCCGCCCAGGTATATTAACGTCCGCCCAGGTATATTAACGTCCGGCCAGGTATATTAACGTCCGCCCAGGTATATTAACATCCGCCCAGGTATATTAACGTCCGCCCAGGTATATTAACGTCCGGCCAGGTATATTAACGTCCGCCCAGATATATTAACGCCCGCCCAGGTATATTACTACCCTCCTGGCTGGTCTACCTGCATGTGCCGTCCGACCTCTGCAGCTCATCCAGAATGCAGCGGCTCGTCTGGTCTTCAACCTTCCTAAATTTTCCCACACCACACCGCTCCTCCGCTCCCTTCACTGGCTTCCAGTAACTGCTAGAATCCACTTCAAGACACTGGTGCTAGCGTACCATGCTGTGAATGGATCTGGCCCTTCCTACATCCAGGACATGGTTAAACCATACACCCCAGCACGTGCACTCCGCTCTGCATCAGCCAAACGGCTCGCTGCACCCGCACTGCGAGGGGGACCCAAGTTCCCATCAGCAAAAACACGTGGGTTTTGCTATCCTGGCTCCAAAATGGTGGAATGAGCTCCCCATTGACATCAGGACAGCAGAAAGCTTACACATCTTCCAGGGCAGACTGAAGACTCATCTCTTTCGACTCCACTTCGAGCGATACATTTAAAAACAAAAAAACAAACAAAATAAAAAGCACTTATATACTAACAAAGCACTTATATACTAACAAAGGACTTATATACTAACAAAGCACTTATATACTAACAAAGCACTTAGATACTAACAAAGTACTTATATACTAAAAAAGCACTTATATACTAACAAAGCAATTAGATACTAACAAAGGACTTAGATACTAACAAAGCACTTAGATACTAACAAAGCACTTATATACTAACAAAGCACTTAGATACTAACAAAGCACTTACATACTAACAAAGCACTTACATACTAACAAAGCACTTACATACTAACAAAGCACTTACATACTAACAAAGGACTTATTATTTTTAAAGTAAAGTAAAGTAACTTGTTACTTTTATAATTTAGTAACTAATAAAGTAACTAGTTACTTTTTTGAGAGCAGTAACTATAACTATTACTAGTTACTTTTTAAAAGTAACTTGCCCAACACTGATGAAACCTGATGTACTTATATGATTCTTCAAGTTTGTATCGTCTTGGTCGAATGCACTTATTGTAAGTTGCTTTGGATAAAAGCGTCGGCTAAATGTAATGTAATGTAATAATAACGGCCGCCCAAGTATATTTCACGACCTATTTAGGTTGTTTTTTTTGTATCCGTCCGCGAGCACTACGCCATCTGTGATCGATGAACTAGTGGACAATGATCCCTCGCTCTACGCCTCCTGTACCTGTTCGCTCTGCCATCGCGTGAAGGGTCTGCTAATAAGCGACCAGCAGAAAGGGAGACCTTACGAGAAAAAGAGAAGTCAAATGTTGTTGCACATCACTCATGCGCAACTGCGCCGCAATTATGCGCTCTGCAGTAACCCCACTCTCCGGCAAACTAACAGTTCAAGAGCATGCTCCATTAACACCCCCCCCCCCCTGCCCGTCGTGCCCGGCTACCACCACAAGTATAATTCTGTGGGAAACACTGCTGTCTCCTGGTGTCTTCAGGCCTGAAAACAGGATTCTTCCTGTTGTGTTGTACATAATATAAGTTCATTTAAAACGTTTTTTTTATTCTCACGTTTCCTTCTCTTTCAGCAGAACGTGGTCTGCAGGAGGTTTTAGATGAACATAGGCTCAGTCTGAGGAGGAGATGTGAACGTGTGACTGAAGGAACTGGTGAAAGTGAAACCCTCCTCAACAGGATCTTCACTGAGCTCTACATCACACAAGGCCTGAGTGAAGAGGTTAATACCCAACATGAGGTGAGGCAGCTGGAGACAGCTTCCAAGAAAAATGCCCTCCATTACTCTCCAATCAAGTGCCAGGACATCTTTAAAGCCTCACCTGACCAACAGACTCTCATCAGAGCGGTCCTGACCAACGGAGTCGCTGGAGTTGGAAAAACCTTCTCAGTGCAGAAGTTCACTCTGGACTGGGCCGAGGGTTTGGGAAACCAAGATGTCAGTCTGGTGATCCCGCTCTCCTTCAGGGAGCTGAACCTGATCAAAGGTGAGCAGTACAGTCTTCTCAGGCTGCTCCATGTTTTCCATCCGACCTTACAGAAGGTCACAGCAGAGCAGCTGGCTGTCTGTAAAGTGCTGTTCATCTTTGACGGCCTGGATGAAAGCAGACTTTCTCTGGACTTCAGAAACAATGAGGTTGTGTCTGATGTCTCACAGCAGTCCTCAGTCAACGTGCTGCTGACAAACCTCATCAGGGGGAAGCTGCTTCCCTCGGCTCTCGTCTGGATAACTTCCAGACCTGCAGCGGCCAATCAGATCCCTCGTGAGTGTGTGGACAGGGTAACAGAAGTACGAGGCTTCACTGAAGCCCAGAAGGAGGAGTACTTCAGGAGGAGATCGAGTGATGAAGACCTGTCCAGCAGAATCATCTCTCACATCAAGAGCTCCAGGAGCCTCCACATCATGTGTCTGATCCCAGTCTTCTGCTGGATCACTGCTGCAGTTCTGGACCACATGTGGACTACAGACCAGAGAGGAGAGCTGCCCAAGACCCTCACTGACATGTACTCACACTTCCTGCTGGTCCAGACCAAGAGGAAGAAGCAGAAGTATGAAGAGGGACATGAGACGAGTCCACAGCAGCTGACGGAGGCTGACAGGGAGCTTCTTCTGAAGCTGGGGAGGCTGGCGTTTGAACATCTGGAGAAAGGAGACATCATGTTCTACCAAGAAGACCTGCAGCGCTGTGGTCTTGGTGTTACCGAGGCCTTGGTGCACTCAGGAGTTTCCACACAGATCTTCAAAAGAGAGAGTGTGATCTTTGAGAAAACAGTCTACTGCTTTGTTCATCTGAGCATTCAGGAGTTTCTGGCTGCAGTCTACATGTTGCACTGTTACTCCAACAGAGACACAGAGGTACTGAAGGACTTCCTGCAGAGAGACTTGGACGATGACAACAGTGATAGCAGTGATCAGGAGTACCCATCCCTGGATGTCTTCCTAAAGAGTGCCATGATGAAATCCCTCAAAAGCAGAAATGGCCACCTGGACCTGTTTGTCCGCTTTCTCCACGGCCTCTCTCTGGAGTCCAACCAGAGACTCTTAGGAGGCCTGCTGGGTCGCACAGACAACAGACCAGAAATCATCCAGAGAGCCATCAGCAACCTGAAGAAGATGAGAAGTGATAAAGTCTCTTCTCACAGGAGCATCAACATCTTCCACTGTCTGACAGAGATGAAGGACCACTCAGTACATCAGGAGATCACAGAGTTCCTGAAGTCAGAGAACAGATCAGAGAAGAGACTCTCTGTGAGCCGCTGCTCTGCTCTGGCCTACAGGCTGGAGATGTCAGAGGAGGTTCTGGATGAGTTGGACCTGGAGAAGTCCAAAACATCAGAGGAGGGACGACGGAGACTGATTCCAGCTTTGAGGAACTGCAGGGAGGCTGTGTGAGTCCAGATGTGATTAGCTTTATAGATTAGTGTAGATAAGGATTTTAGTTTTTAAAATAAACACTATACAACTTTTTGCTGTTTCGAAGGATGTTTTAAAATTGAACTAATACAATTATTCTAAAATTGTACAGTTTTTTCTTCTCTTCATTTTCCTTGTCAAAATAATATGAAGGATGTTTTATCACAGCAACATGTGATCAGAACATACAGGATAACTTTACATATGTCATTGAATGCAGTAAAGTTATTATGAAATGATTGCAGTTTCTTTATCGTTAAATTAGACACAGAGCAATATGTGATTCATGTTGACTCTAGTCTTCTCTAGTCTAGAAAGTAGCTAGCAGAGAGGTGACAGACATGGGATCAGATCACACTCTACCAAATATTAAATAGACTAACATCCAGTGGTAATCAGATCATGATATTCAAAATGTTTTTCCTCAAATGCATGAAGTAACTATGTTGTTTCCCCTTGTTGTTATATAAACAAATTCTGTAATATGTGTTCTAACAGAATTCCTGACAGTGGATTCTTAGACTGGGAAGTCGTGGCCTCAGCTCTGAAGTCCGACCCCTCCGATCTGAGAGAGCTGGAGGTGAAAGTAGATCTGCAGGATTCAGAGGTGGAGCAGCTGAGTTCTGGACTAAAGAGTCCAAACTGTAGACTGAAGACTCTGAGGTCAGATCACTGGCTGTAGTTCATGTGGTTTTGTACTGTATTTATAATTGATATATTTATAATTCCATCATTTGCCTGAGTACAAAGATATTTGAATAAGTTCACATTTCTTTCTAAATTGCTGAATATTTGACAAGAATAACAGAAAGCAGAGAAAGTAAATGTGTGAGGGGACAGTGTGTGAGCTTCCACAGACTCTCACTGTGCTCCATGAGTCAGTGAAGATGCTGTCAGTACTGATGAGCTGTGAGGGAGATGAAGGAGGTTCTTCTGATGCATTATCAATGCATTTATAGTTATCTACTATTACATTTCTAAAAGTATCTTCATCATTTTTGACATTGGCATCTGAACCCTCTCCAGGTCTGAAAAGATGATGAGACTTTGAACTATCTCAAGCAGGACCATTGTTCTCTGAACTTACATCATGTGTTCTTTATTCAGACTCTGGTGCTGCTTCTTTGTAAACTCTGTGATCTTGAGTTGAATCAGTTTCTGTGGGTTTTGATTTGTCTGGCTGCACATCACGAGTTAGTGTAGAAGGAGCAGAGTTTATGATGTGAAGTCACCACTTTTTATTGAAGGTGAAGAACGTTGTCTTTCATATTAATGAGAGCTCTTTTCACTTTTTGGATCTTACTGTTTTTAACCTGTCGGGAGTGTCCACTTTATAAACGTCTACATTCTCTACTTCTCCAGCTATAATCAGATTATTAAACCTTTCATTATTTCAATCAGGAACATTGTTTTCTAAACTTACATCATGTGTTCTTTATTCAGTCTGGAGGGCTGCTGGTTGTCAGAGATCAGCTGTTCTGCTCTGATCTCAGCTCTGAAGTCCAACATCCATCTGAGAGATCTGGACCTGAGTAAGAACGTTCTGAAGGATTCAGGAGTGGAGCTGCTGAGAGATCTTCTGGAGAGACCAGACTGCAGACTGGAGACTCTCAGGTCATTTCTCCATCTCTATCTTCTGTGCTGAGATGAATATGTGAGAGTTGTGTTGACTCTGAGCTGCAGACATCAGGCTGATATGATCCTGATCCTCACTGAGCATCTTAATGCTAAAGTCTACTTTCTTCTTCTGTGGTTTAGCTCATTGACTGTAGCAGAGCTATGCTAAAGAAAAATCATACTCTGCATAATTCACTGTGAACCTTTAAAAACCTGGAATTCATCTTTTATTCTCCGTCATGTTTTTTAAATAAATGACATTATAAACACATGAATACAATAATTAAATATTTCTATTAAAACTATCAAACACTAACAAATATGTTCAGTTGTTGCTGTTTCTAACATGTTTCTGAAGCTGCATGATGCTCAAACTGACTGAATAGTTTAAACTGAAGATGCTGTGATCTATGTCTCCACTATTCCTAAAATAAATATTCTCTATTTATTTTGATCACATTTCTTCTAAATTCATCCTGACTTCTTTGTAAACTCTGTGATCTTGAGTTGAATCAGTTTCTGTGGGTTTTGATTTGTCTGGCTGCACATCACGAGTTAGTGTAGAAGGAGCAGAGTTTATGATGTGAAGTCACCACTTTTTATTGAAGGTGAAGAACGTTGTCTTTCATATTAATGAGAGCTCTTTTCACTTTTTGGATCTTACTGTTTTTAACCTGTTGGGAGTGTCCACTTTCTAAACGTCTACATTCTCTACTTCTCCAGCTATAATCAGATTATTAAACCTTTCATTATTTCAATCAGGAACATTGTTTTCTAAACTTACATCATGTGTTCTTTATTCAGACTGGATAACTGCAGCTTGTCAGAGATCAGCTGTTCTGCTCTGATCTCAGCTCTGAAGTCCAACATCCATCTGAGAGATCTGGACCTGAGTCGCAACGCTCTGAAGGCTTCAGGAGTGGAGCTGCTGAGAGATCTTCTGGAGAGTCCAGACTGCAGACTGGAGACTCTCAGGTCAGTAAGGGGTCGACTCAGTCTCTGCTGGTTCAGCAGGATTGTATTGAACACAGGGAGGTGGATGTGTTCCTCTCACTGGGGAATCTCTCCAGTTCCACCTTCCAGGCGTAGCCTAGCTTAGCACAACACATCAGTGATGTTACCATTTATCTGCAGTTTCTCCTTTTGTTCATCTCATGTTTCTTTTCTTGCGTTCTCCCAAGAACAATATAATGCAAGCTGACAATGCAAAGCCACATTTCAGTCAGGAGCAACTTGTTAACAGACAAATCCTACTCTGCATAATTCACTCTGATCCTTTAAACACCTCGAATTCATCTTATATTCTCCATCCGGTTTCTTTTATAAATGATATAATAAACATATTAATTCAGTTAATACACATTTATATCAAAGTTATTAAACACTAACCAATCATTTCAGGTTTTGCTTTTTCTTAAAAAAATGTCTGAAGCTGCATGATGCTCAAACTGACTGAATAGTTTAAACTGTAGATGCTGTGATCTATGTCTCCACTATTCCTAAAATAAATATTCTCTATTTATTTTGATCACATTTCTTCTAAATTCATCCTGACTTCTTTGTAAACTCTGTGATCTTGAGTTGAATCAGTTTCTGTGGGTTTTGATTTGTCTGGCTGCACATCACGAGTTAGTGTAGAAGGAGCAGAGTTTATGATGTGAAGTCACCACTTTTTATTGAAGGTGAAGAACGTTGTCTTTCATATTAATGAGAGCTCTTTTCACTTTTTGGATCTTACTGTTTTTAACCTGTCGGGAATGTCCACTTTCTAAACGTCTACATTCTCTACTTGTCCAGCTATAATCAGATTATTAAACCTTTCATTATTTCAATCAGGAACATTGTTTTCTAAACTTACATCATGTGTTCTTTATTCAGTCTGAGGTGGTGCAGCTTGTCAGAGATCAGCTGTTCTGCTCTGATCTCAGCTCTGAAGTCCAACATCCATCTGAGAGATCTGGACCTGAGTGGCAACGCTCTTCAGGATTCAGGAGTGGAGCTGAGAGATCTTCTGGAGAGGCCAGACTGCAGACTGGAGACTCTCAGGTCTGTAAGGGGTCGACTCAGTCTCTGCTGGTTCAGCAGGATTGTATTGAACACAGGGAGGTTGATGTGTTCCTCTCACTGGGGAATCTCTCCAGTTCCACCTTCCAGGCGTAGCCTAGCTTAGCACAACACATCAGTGATGTTACCATTTATCTGCACTTTCTCCTTTTGTTCATCTCATGTTTCTTTTCTTGCGTTCTCCCAAGAACAATATAATGCAAGCTGACAATGCAAAGCCACATTTCAGTCAGGAGCAACTTGTTAACAGACACATTTTACAGTTAAAAAGTGAGTCTGTTTGTTTTTTCTATGAAGTTGTTTTGTTCCTGGACTAATGCCTAGTTAACTCTGTAATGCAGCTGAGAGCTGTGGCAGGCAGTCGTAGTGTTTGCAGAGAGGATATGATGGGATGTGAATCATTGGATCAGGACTCTGAAGCTGACTCAAAGAACAAACACTTATTTTAAGTTGATCTCAAACTGTTGGATTGTGTTCATCCCTACAGGATCACAGGAGAGACGATCAGAGCCAAGATCCAGAAGAAATGTGAGTATTGAACTCATGTTCTCCAAATATATCCAAACTATCGTACATGCAATCAAATCATAGGTAATATATGTATGTATCACTTGATGAAATCTGTGCCTCCCGTTCATGTCTAACATAATAAATGTTTAACTATTAAATAATATAAAGCTCCAAGAGTGTCTTTAAACAGGCGGTTCTAACGAGTGGCTAAATTCATAATAACGTCGTCACGCTGATCACGGAGAAACTCATCTCCTCATTGGCTGTGATGTTAAGTCATGTGACTGTGATGGAGTTCCTTTATAGCCTGATGCTAGCTTTTCACTTGTGTGAAAGAACAGGTATTGGATGTACACTACTCAAAAAGAATGTATAAACACCATAGGGTAATCGCTTTTTGACATTTGAATAAGGAAATGTTACAAATGATATATTTTAAATAAATAAACCCACCGCTGGGAAAGCTGAGGAATATAAATATCTCTGTGAACATCACATTGAACTTGTGTCTAACTTATTAGTCATGTTTTAAGAGATCTCTGTTCAAAGTGATTGTTGGTTATATAACTAGAGTATTTCCCTGTTTATCCTCCAGCTCCATGAGGGGATATTGTTAACCATCAGGCAGCGCATTCAGACCCGTCATCCTGCATCTGGTTCGTTTCCTGACATTTCTGTCCCTCAAGTCTTTGGAAACAGTCAGAAGAGCGTCTACGGAGAACACGAAGAACAGTTTTAAATGATGACATTTTGCGTTAATCACCCCGACTGCATTAATCACACGTGACTATTTTTCACTCATGTTCCCGGTAATACCTTACACTCAGTAAAAGCTCTAACATGTTTTCTTCATAAACCTAGTCTAACTGCAGTTCAATCAGGAGAGACTTCATTTTGTTTAAAGAACATTTATTGACACATGCCATATAATAAATGTTAAGTCTTTGGCGATTAGACCCCGATCCTGAAATGGTATATCTAAAGGGGGAAATGCAGCCGTGAGCATATAGGGAACCCCCCGGGGGCTAGACACTGGTGATGATGATGAAGATCTGGATTTGATGAGGAGATGGGATGAAGAGGAGGTGTGATGATGTCTTTGGATTAGCTCTCCTGGCACTGGATGTGATGAAAGGAGGTGGATGGGGAGGAGGCGGATGGGGAGGAGGATGAGGAGGAGGTGGATGGGGAGGAGGTGGATGGGGAGGAGGTGGATGGGGAGGAGGTGGATGGGGAGGAGGTGGAGGAGGAGGTGGATGGGGAGGAGGTGGATGGGGAGGAGGTGGATGAGGAGGTGGATGGGGAGGAGGCGGATGGGGAGGAGGCGGGCGGGGAGGAGGCGGATGGGGGGGGAGGTGGATGAAGAGGAGGCGGGCGGCAGCATGAACACCGGAAATCACAGCTGACTGCAGGAGAGAGGAGAACCATTTTAAAGTTTGGCTGCAGCACGCTGATTGGCTGCTGGAGAATGAGGTGAAATGTAATAGGTTAAAGAGAACGCCCGTGATGAGCTGATTATAAGCAGCTGCAGAGTGAATGTATATATACCCAGTCTTCCTGGAGGAACTTGCGCTGAGCTTCATTGAGTAACATTTCCATGGAGTAGAAAGATATTCAACACCAAGAAGCACATGATGGCGTTTTTCAGTGTCTGACAGGCTGCGTGACTTTTTTTATTATAATTTCTTTTTTTAAATAAATGTGTATGCATGCTTTAGTCAACATGAATCTGTCTCCGGCTCTTTTCTGCTGTAACAATGTACATGTCCCCTCTGTGGGACTAATAAAGGGATTCTGATTCTGATCTGAATGTTATTATCACATGTTTTGAATGCATCTAGTTTGAGATGAATCACCTGACTATATGGACGGAGACAGCATGAAGCTTTCACTCCTGAGGGGACTGACAACAACAAATACCCAACTACCACACCCGGACAGAGATAATACATTTACAGTTGTGAATAATGTTTGATATCCTGATGGTAAACCTTTCTTATCTTAAAGGTCACCCATCATGCTATTTGTAGGCAATAGCATAGGTCTCAGATATATAAAAATATATAAAAAACATGTCTATGAAGTGTTTTGCTCAAAATACCAAACAGATCACCCATTCTAGCCATGCCTCATATCCCTCTATTTCACTTCCTGTTTCAAAAGTGCTGATTTGGGGTATAAAGCTTTAACAAATAAAAAAGGAGGGGTCTGAGCTCATGCGGGACCCGGCAGCTACTGTCTAAACTAAATACTGCCGTGATGAAACGCCATATCATGGATTATCAAGGATTATCTCTGAAACAGTATGGAGCTCAAAGGCTTTCTCTCTTGCCGGTTATACCACAAGGTGAGTTCCTTTTTATTTCCTGCTTCTTCACACACATGCTCTCCAGTACAGGTTAGCTCTGAGTGTTAGCGATGCTAATGTAAACACCGACCATATTACGTCCAAAACAGTCGGGCATTGTTTCTGATAGCAACGTTTCTGATAGTGCCGTGGGTCCACATTTCAGATATTACGTCATATCGGACGCAAATCTGGATCAGCTCCGTTGTTCCCCCATTTTTAGAGATTTGGGTACGGAGGAAAAGAGAGAGGGTTTTATTTTCTGACGCTGCGTGAGTTCCCTGACACACCGGGGACACATCTTATTTTGCATGATAGGTCCCCTTTAATGTCCGTTACTTGGGACGGTTGAAACACACGGGCTCTTCCTCTCTCTGCATCCTCCTCTTGTTTGTCCTTCAGTGATCCGATCTATTTGAAGGTTAATGGAGGAAACTCTCGGAAGAGCACCTTCAACATACCATTACAGAAAAATATACTGTTCACGAAAAACTAATCTTATAATCTGTACATTTGTTTATACCAACAATTATTCTATTATTTTTCCCCTTATCCGTATTTAATCATTTCATTTTGTTATTGTTTTTATATATTTATGTAGTTTTCCATCCTCCATGGAGAGCACCCCATAGTAAGCACATGATTTACTTACATTTGACCAGTAGACTCTCTCCATTCATCACCTAAATATACAGTATATTCACCTCCACCATAAGGCAATCTATGTTAACCCTTTGGTGGCCTTCTCCCAGAGTCTCTGCTGACGAGACACACTTGCCCACTTCCACCTGGATGATGGCGTTTTTAAGCCGGACCTCCCTCGCTGGTCTTGTTGACGTTTGGGGAGAATATCCGCAGCATCCCCTTGTAGCTGCCCACCACCACCTTGTCTAAAGTTTAAGGCATTATTAAATATGAGATGGCTCTGTAATGTGAACAGCTGTGATGCAAATGTGAGTTGAAGTTGTTACTGGGAAATGTGAGAGTGTAAAAGACAAAGAATCTGTTTGAAAGTCATCTTTTTCTGTAAATATGCTTTTATTAACTCAGTATTTCATTGTTTCTGTGTTTTAATTATCTTAAATCTATCATTTAATTCACTGTCTTGCATTATCTCACCGTCACACAGTTCTGCTTTAAAGATGTTATTCTCTAAAGAGTCACATTTGGAGAAAAGCGTGAAAAGAAATGTCAGAAATGCTTTTAAGAAAATAAACATTCACTACAAACAGAAGTTGTTGTTTTTTTTTAATGCAATTACATTTTAAGAGTTTCAGTATTCAATCAGAAATACAATTAATATATCAATCACTCCATTTGGTTGTACTTGAGTA